GGCCTTAGCGAGATGCATAGTAAATTCCACATATTGTGTGTTGTCCTTAAAACTCACAGCTGTGTCACGCTTACTCTTCAGATGCTGGATAGAAATTTACTTCCTAAACCTATCCTCAACTTATCCGAGTGATAGTATGGACTAATAAAATCTTACTCATGGAAATTCAGTCATTTGCTAGGTCTTGTTTGAATGGAAAATTTAGGAGCATTACTGGCCTGTGTTCCTTAACTCACAATCGCCTTAAATAGACCTGAAGTGAATGAAATCCTCCAGAGATGTTTGTCATTTCTCTCATGGCATCCTTTGTATTTCAGGACCCCAAACGCCATTTAGAAGAGCATGTGGATGTGCTGATGACCTCAAACATTGTCCAGTGTTTAGCTGCTATGTTGGATACAGTTGTATTTAAATAACCCATTTACTGTTTGTGATGCTTTCTGTGTATATTTGTTTATTGTTTCTAATACTCACAAAACAGAGACTGTTGAGGCTATATTTGATTAAACAGAGACATCTGACTTCATTTGCAGTGTAAGTGCAGCACTATAACACCTTTCAGTCTCTAATTGTGCAGTTGCTTCAGTTTCTTTATGTCAGGGTCTTTACAGATTCCAAAGCATTCAAGAACACAATGTGGGCAAAAATGTATTACATTTTCATTTAATATTTGGGGGAAAAATCAGTAGTACATATATATTTTGATTGTTGCAACATAATAAAAATACATTTACAAACCTTTCTTAAGTTCTGGAAGGCCTTTTTTGAGAAAGGACGGTGGGAATTAACAGTGTAGGAAAAGTGTTGGTAAAGGTTTATTTCTACTCACTGTAAAACTACTGAGATATTAATTGCTAAGGCAGCAAAACTTCTCTAATGAAATTTGGCTCCCAGTGATTACCAGATACTCTAATTGAGATTAAAACAAAAATTTGTGGTAGCACTGAATTCTGAGGGATGTACAAAACCCAAAATGCTGAAAATTCTCCTGACAGCTCCCTTTCAATATTATTCAAACCCTAATATCCACAGAAGACAACTGACCTTAAGAAAATGAATTCAGTTATGCTGATAACTGAATCACACAACTCTCACAAGCGGTGTCATAAATAGCAGTATTCTGAGAATAAACATTACAGTGATAGAGGCTGTTCTAGGTTATATGAACCCTCCCTCCTGCGAAAGAGAATGTACACGAGTTGTCCGTATATATAAATATATGGAAAGAGTCCCAACTGGAATATGACATTTAAAACAGTTTCCACTGACTAGAGAGAGGGAAACACTGACAGGAAGGCAGGTGGGTTGGCTGCTTGGTTTTAAGCAGGCAAAGCCAAATAACTGGGTTTGGGGAGTGACTCTGGGTTTTGGGCAGCGGGCTGGTTGGGGTTTGTTTGGTTTTTAAGTATTGGATGGTACTTAAGCTGATTTGATTCTTTTGTCTGGGCAGAAGTGTTCTCTTTCTGTGTCACTCACAATATTTTGTTCACGGGATTTTGAAAAAAAAAAGAATGAACGGCAACAATTGTGGCAGGCAAATATTTTAAAACTAGATACATCTTTTTGTGTTGATGATGATTTTTTTTTTTAAGTGATTTGACTTCTTACTTGCATAGTAAAGAAATAGCCCATAAAATGGTCTCATTTTCCACTTTGTACCCAGTAATTTTCTATTTACTTATTCATTACCATTCAAAGGTTTTTCTTTTGTTTGGAATTTCTTATTTAGGCCTTTTAATTTACTATTTTAGCATAACTCTCTCTCAAAGTATATTTAGCATGCATTTACTTCAGAGGGAAACATGCAGATTTTTGCAGCTGCCCTCCTTATGGCCTTCCCTCTGCCCCCACAGTAGGCAGTAGAATATCAGACTGGGAAAATGGAGACATACCAAACTACATTTGCCTGCATATAGTTAAATGGAAGTGCTTTCTGGCGATTTGCACTAAAACCTGCGTATCATCGAGGAAGGCTGTATTTGGGCCTTGCCGTTGTCCGATGTGTGCATGCACCCCTGCACCCCAGGGTGAGATGGGGCAGGAGCTGATCGGGGGACCTGCCCTTGGGCTCATCTGCCAGCGGGGCTCTGCATCCCTGCCGCTATCTACTCCCACGCGCACGTGTAACACCACGAGGGTGACATAGTTTGGCAGGTCGTGGGTAACATGGCACTGCAGAACAGGAGAGAAGCTATCGCAGTGCTGCAGTGTATACCTGCATGGAAGGCCGGTGTAAGCAGGGAGACAAACCAGTGAGTCTTGCATATTCTAAATTAATTTTGACATGTACCTCTTGCAGAGGGTAGCTGAAGGGAGTCTGTTGGAGATGCAGATCTCCTGTAGTATGAGCTTGTGCTGTGGTACCCTGCTTTCTATCTGCTCCTCAGTTTGACTTGGAGGCACAATTTTCCATTTACTAAGATGTTTCATAAATAATCAAAAGGCTGTTTTTCGGGACATCTTTCCTCATTTTTGTCCAGTGCTTTAGGAGCTACACAGAGGATTTGGAAGAATGTGTGCATGCAGTAACGTGAAAAGCAGCAGCCCATATACCATCTTGGAGGAAGAAAGAGGTTTTCAGCAGCTACCTTCTGAGCCTCCAGCCGCAATGGAGCAGACCTTCATTAGCAGCTTGACCCCTCGTCACCTGTCAGCATGAAGGACGGGCATATTGTATTAGCAAGCCTCTCTCCTTCTTTCTATGACGATTCTGTAACACCACCTGCCATTGCAAATCCCCCTATTGTACCGGTTTAGGAGTTGTGCACTGAAGATTTTTGGCATATATTAGCACTTCCATGTGATTGGCAGTATACCACTGAATTCATTGCAGCTCTGCATCTCTATGGGTGTAGCTCCATAATTCAGGGCAGCGTTTCCCAGGGTTTATCTGTGTTTTGACCCATCTCCTGCCTATATAAGTCCATTACCTTTCTGTCGGTTTCGAGCAGAGAAAGGGACACATCTGGTGAAACAACTGTCGGAAACATTAGTTAGAACTCGTATTAATAAAACTATTTTCTTAGCACTCAAAGGAGAAGGTGTAGTATGGAAAGTTGCATGCGCTGTACCACCCAACTGCAAGTAAAACAGTGAACTGCTTGCTTTTTGCTTCATAAATTATTTTATTAGAATAACTTCCTTGCAGAGAGTGTGTGTATGATGGCTTCTATGAAACACCAAATAACTGAACTAGCTTACGGTTAAGCAACAGAAAAACTAAACGGCCGTGGGATTTGAGAGCGTTGAAATACGCATTCTGACAAGTCATCCTGGTTCTAGTCTTCTCTGGATTTGAGTCTGCAAAGTTTCAGCCTGGCTTCAGATGATTATACGCTGGTCTTGGTTTTATTACGTGATGATCCGAGCTGCATTAACTATCAGTGGAATTTGAAGCCGGCTGCTGGTGTCACCTGGAAAGAGATGCGATCTGTAAAATACCTGAAGTCCAAACCGCTAAGGGGAAAATACTAAGAAAAATGAAAGAGGGCTCCTCCCCGGGCAAAAAAACGGTGCTTTTAAAATTCACAAGCTCGCCTAGGAAGGGAAATTGAGACTGATGCTGGGCAGAGGCGGGGGTGGCAAGCGAGTCCCCTGAACTCTTCGGGCGCATCTTCACGCCCCGGAGGGTCCCGCTTCCAGTTAGCCCGAGGCTCGCACGGACGCACTGCGGGACCCACCGGCAGGTCCCTCCTGCTGAGGGGGGGGGTCCTCGGCGG